ATAATCTAGTTCATAATGATCTAATATGAATTTAATCAATTATGAATATGATAGGAAGGAATAATTGAAAATAAAAAACCTGCATAACAACGAACATGACTACATACATGCATGATAAAATAATAAAAAACTATGAAACTTTAATCTTATATATACTTAAAGATATAGAAATAGTTGAATTAAGAAAAATAATATGAGAAAAAATATTTAATGATAACGAATCAGAAGATATATTAAACCAACAATGGTATGAAATAGACCTACATAATTTAGACCTCGAAAGAATAGAATGGTATGGTTTAGAAATAAATTCAGATTATTAAAATTGAAAACATTCTTCTTATATCCTCCTCTCCCCCCTTGTGTATTGCCTTCTTTGGTTTAATTACTGACAGATTATTCTATTTCTAGAATGACTAGTTATGAACTTCTAAAAAAATCAAGTTTAGTTGAGGATGTGATTTGTTTTGTTTTGATTTCCGTCTCTTTTGGCCTATATTTCGTTGTTTCTTGACATCATTAACTGTGAATGACCCTTTTCTTCTTGTTGAACATGAATCATCGGCGTTGAGCAAGATCCCCGTAGTTATTATGTCATCTGAGAAGATTTTAGCTCGCAATGATAGGTATATCCTCTTTTCACTATCAATTGTTTGCTCATTTGTATTAGTTTTGTTTAATATGGTCTATATACTGTGCTGCGTCACAGTTTAATACATTGTAAAATCCATTTGCCATAGGCAGATCTTCAACTAAACTCATTGTTTTCTACTCGATCAATATGTACATATGTATAATATCTACCCTTGTGTTAGACTCATACAAATCCCATTAACTATAATTCCTTAATGTATTCCTGCCTCTTAGAGAATTTGGACATGTTGTATTCTGTTTAAATAAACTCTTTAGAATTGAGGACTATTGATTGAATTGAAATTGGAAAAAGTACTTGCGGAGCAAACATCTGTTAACAGTTGAAGTAACTATCTAATCCCAGAAGGAACCTTGTGTTGCTTCATCAGTAGCATGTATTTTCATGTAGATCATGTATTTTCTTCTATAAAATGGTAAAAATTTAGGGCTCTTTTAGCTGGATAAAACTATCGATTTCTGTATTTATCTCGCTATTAGTGAATTTAAAGATAGTACCATTCCCTTCGCTATATTTTTGTTTCCAAATTGTTAATTTGGACCATCTAATTGAGTAGATGTTTCCTTTCTAGATGTTTGGAGGAAGGTGCTGCAGAATTTCTCCTAAAGCCTGTTAAGCTGTCTGATGTCAAACATCTCTGAGAATTCATACTAAGAGGTGAGGGGGATGACAACAAAGAAACAGAGAAGAAGATTAAAGAAGTATGTTCTAGAAAATGAAAATTTCAAGACGATTCAATGACACCACTGATGCCATCTTCTTTAGTTACAGGCCATGAGCCCATGACAATATATACTCTATCATTGTGTCCAATTCTCCACTTGTGTGCGCCATAGTTTCAGGAATTCAAAATTCACCTTGATGAAAATCTTAGATCCGCCGTAGTTGGCAGATGTATGATCTTGAAGAAAAAAATGTGTGCTTGGAATCTCATCTAAAGTCGATTCAGTTGATTGGTTTCAAAGGTGAAGAAATTAAGATAGAACTACTAAAGTTTTTTTGAAGAATGCATGGGTATTGCAAAAAACTTACGATTGTTTGGTCAAGTTATGCTCAGAAATCAGAAGAGACATCAAAGAAGGTTTTGAAGACTCCTAGAACTTCTTCACATGCTTTTCTGAGATTTCACAATGCCAACCTCAGACAAAGGTCTGATAACTGGTACAATGAAAAGTTAGAAAGGGAAATGATTATTCGATTGTTAAATTTACTCTTATCAAAATTTTCTGAATTGAAGATCCAAGTCAGAACCAAACTGTATAAGACACGGATCCTTGAGTTTTATGAAACTTTTATGTGGTTTACTAGGAAGTATGTGGTTTAATGTTCATTTACAAGTGTCGAGAAACAATTATGATGTTGATTATTCTCACACTGTTTGTCACTAATATTTGAATGCAACTTGTGCATTATTTGTATTTTGAGTCAAGCTTTAAACATTTGATACAATCTGTGCATTAGGTGATTTTAAAAGCATTGAAGATCCACAGTTATGAGCTATTGACAACAAAATGAGGCACAACTAAGGTAATAGTCTGTCTTAAACTTGTGCTTCTTGGTAAATGTTGAGCTCGAATAGCCATTTACTTATCAGAATACAAGGTCCCGTTGATGGTTGTTAAAACAATTTAATCTGGTAGAGTTACATAACTATTTTGTAGCTCGTGCACTTCATATCTAATCTTGAGATTCTGCGATTTCTCAGAAAGTGCAACTAAATTAAATGAGTGCAATGTGGCCGCTGATGCGGTAGGCTGACGTACTAAAGCAGAGCACCAGTAAGTTAATGCATTTTTTTATTAGCTTCAGCTCTTTTGTATAATACTATGGAAACTGAATTGACTCTCTTCTTATCCTATTCATTATAAATAATGATGTTGAATTTCATTGTTGTCTCATAGTATGTACAACATGGAGGGAACCCTTTAAGACAGATCCACTGCTACTGGAAAAAATATTCAAAAAGGAAGGTCCTCCTTGGACATTGAGTTCAGTTGTGCTAAAAGCTAAGATGTTGTTGGATGTGAAGTTGAGTTCAGATTATGCAGTCAGCTAGCTTATCATCTGGCCCACCTTACAATAAAATGACGACTATCCTATTTCTGATTCATTTGCTTCACTTCCTTCACAAGCCAAAAATAGGTGAACTTAAATAGAATAGGGATGGCGACTCTTAAATCAAATCTATTGCGGTTCTTTCATGATTGTAAAAATGGATGCATGTCTTATGTATTTTTTGTTTGGTCGTGAGCTGTAGGTAGATGCCCCTTATATTTTGTACTTTGAATGAAGTCAATAAAATTCTATACCTAATGCCATTTTCTAATTTTTTGAGTAGGGTGCTTGACGATAAAGTGTTACTTTTTTAAAAAAAAAAACATGTAAACACATTGTAATTTTTCATATTGAGTTACTCCATTTATCAACAAATTCTGAATGTCTGGCCAACTAAGAAAAATGGCAATGCACCTACATTGTTTCTTATTGGATGTGGATTCTTCTCTTAGGAATAAGCTAAGAAATATGATCCATCACTAAATGATGGGTGTTGTGAATTTAAAAGTATGGTTAATAAGAAGTATTTATTGCTACTTCGGATGCTAAACGTATTTCTTAGATAGATTAAATACAAGTGAAATAACATTAAAATTAAAAATGTTGGGCCCATTCTTAGCACGGGAAAGAACCATCTAGTATAAATAGAGATGGCCTACCCGATTTATTGGAATAGGATTTATTGATATGGATATCCTCTAAACGCTTCTAGAAGCACTTCCATGTTAATATATATTTAAAAACAATTAGAAATTTTAATGACCATCCAACTTATTTCCTCTTTATTGCATTATTTTGGGTCTTTAGAGATTTCCTATAGCCACGCCAAACCATTTATGACTTGTTGGGCCCAACAATTTGGTCAGTCAAAACATCAGGTAGAAAGCCTTAGAATGTTATTTTTACGGTTCCGTTAGCTCTAGAACGTCGATTTTGGTCTAGAAGGACCTTTGATACGGATTTTGAGCCTTTCAGGCTCATTCCGAGCAACATTGTAGATTTTGGCTTCAAACAAAGTATGGGTGTGAGACCCATGTTTTGTCGAAACAACCTCAATTGAAAAGTTCAACATCCTTGTTGAGTCCGGAATGATGAATTTTGTGGGGTAACATATTTCGTTTGGATGCACGGAGTTCCCAACGGATCCTAGCACCTTTTAAGAGTATTTTAAGACTTGTTGAATCAGCTGGTGTTGCACCATCTGGTGCAACACCATTTCTTCTTAGCGTTCACACACCTCAGGCTGCGTTTGCGGTAGTGAGTGATTTGGGTCTACTCGTTCGCGAGTTCGTGGAGACCAAAGGGCTTGGTCATTGCATTCGTAGGCCTTACGACGTGTTCACAATGGTAAAGGAAGCTGACCCTTCGTATTTGCAGGTTCGATGTCGCATTCGCAGATTTAAGGAGGGCCGAACTCTCGTCTTCACCAACTGAGTCCCGCATTTGTGAAAGTCATTTATCTGGTCTTTTAATTAAGACTAGTTCCATTTTCAACTCAGTTTTTATCATTGTGAAGTTGATATCTTGAGTTACAGAACTCTACTTTGGATGATTTAAGTTGATAATTGCTGGAAATTTGCTAGGCTACATGCTGGGATCATAGAGAAGGTGTGGGGAGTGCATAATAAATATAATTTCTCTTCCCGAGAGGCCTTGGTTACCTCTTTAATGGTGATTTCTATATGAGATTGTTGCATGATTAGATTTCGCTGTTTTTCGTGCTAGGTTTGAGCTCATTTTCTAGGAAAAAGTTCTTGAGTAAAATGGAACCAATTGACATAATCAATTTTAGGATTTTCAACGCGGGTCCCATAATTTCATTTTTTATTCGATTTTGGGATAATCTTCAGTTGTTTCGATGTTGGTGTCTAAACATCTATATTGACGCTATGATAGTTTATTTGGTAGTGTGGCAGCAATTGGAGACGTTAGGAACAACAAAGCTCCAGAATAATGGTTTTTGTTGGATGAAGAGGAAAAAATAAAATGAAAGAGTTTGAGAGACAAAAGGTTTCTTTTATTGCTCAACTTTCTTGCATAAAAAACAAAACTCCTATTGCCCTTTTATAGGCTTACAATTAACTACTAAAGCTAAAACAAAGCAACACACAAATAATGGAAAACGTGGTAAACATGGTCCACTACAATAAGAAGATAATTTCATTGACTAAGTAAAACATAAACTCACTAATCCTAGAGAATAGACCCACAAACTGATTTTCTGCAAACTAAATATTTTGAAGAATTAGTCAACACTCCCCCATTCTTCAAAAGCACAAACTCCCATTTATTGTTTGAAGAAGTCATGCTTGTTGCGGGGAAGCAACTTCGTAAGAACATCAACAGTCAGATTATTTGTGCCATATAATTCAAGTGAGATTATTCCACCAGCGACTAGATCACGAATAAAGTGATAGCGAGTGTCGATGTGCTTCGTTCTACTGTGAAAAATGGGATTTTTTGTCATAGCAATTGTTGCCTTGTTGTCACACCATATTTCCATTGGACCAAATCCGGTCTTGTTAGAAGATCTGCTAACAATTTCCTTAACCAAACAACTTGACAACATGCTAAAGTTGCAGCCATGTATTCTGCTTTCGAAGATGGCAAAGCTAGTGTATCTTGTTTCTTTTGAACTCCATGAGACTGCTCCAGACCTAAGACTAAAAACGTTCCCAGATGTACTCTTGTGATCATCCAAGATCCCTTCCCAATCACTATCAGTAAAGCCAATTAATTTGAAACCTGATACTTTTGAGTACCAAATTCTGTGACTTGTTGTGCCAACAACATATCGCAAGATCCTTTTGGCTGCTTCTAGGTGTTACTTTGAAGGATTGTGCATAAAACGTGAAACAAACTGACAGAGAATGCTATATCGGGCTTTGTGTGCGATAAGTAGTTTAGACAACCAACCAAGCTTCTATAATAAGAAGCATTTGCCGCACATGTATCATCATCGAGTACCAACTTCTCATTCATATTCATAGGTGTGGGAGATGGATTACAATTTAGCATGTTGAACCTCTTTAAATGTTCAGTAGCATATTTCCTTTGTGAAATAAAAATTCCATCCGAACCTTGTCTCACCTCAAGACCAAGAAAATAATGCAGCATACCCAAGTCGGACATCTCAAATTTACTCATCATGCAACTCTTAAATTCAGAAACAATAGATTCACAAGAGCCCATATATATAATATCATCGATATAAAGACAAACAACCAAAAAATCACTATTACCACGCTTCTTCACATAATGTGTAGGTTCATTGTCACTTTTTCTGAACTGCTTCTCTTGAAAAAGGGAGTCAATTTTGCTATACCATGCCCATGGTGCTTGCTTTAAATCGTACGATGCCTTCTTCAATTGGTATACTTTGCTCTTCCCTTCATTAGAAATGAAGCCTTCAAGTTGGCAAACATAAACTTCTCTTTGTAAGTCGTCATTTAAGAAAGCAGACTTAACATCAATTTGGTAAACAAGCCAACCAAGTTGAGCATCCAAGGCTAGAGTAGTTCTAACCATTTCAAAGCGAGCAATTGGTGATAACGTCTTATTAAAGTTGATGCCTTGTTGTTAAGAGTATCCTTTCGCAACAAGTCGAGCTTTATGCCTTTTGACACTTCCATCAGCATTGTACTTTGGTTTGAAAATCCAATTTAGCCCGATAACATTCTTCCCTTCCGAAAAATCAACAAGCACCTAGGTCTGATTTTTCTTGATAGCCTGAATGTCTTCAATCATCATATCCTACCACTTTGGTTGCTTTGCACCTTCTCCATAACATGTCGGTTCAACAACTAACAAGGCAAAGCTACAAGATGCATAAACATCTTGTAGTGACCGAAACTTTGTTGGTGGCGTCTCGTTGGATGACGTCGAAAGTGGAGAACAAGAGCTTGATGGAGTAGAATTGTTTCTACTTCCATGAGCAGTACGGTTAGTATTGCTGCTACCTGGTGAGGAAAGATCATAACTTGTTGTTTCAAGTATCCCTGTATGCTCTACTTTTGCGTGAACTGGAATATGGATGACTGAATCTTCTTCCTTGTCGTTTCACTCCCATGCCGCTTCTTCATTAAATACAACATTCCTGCTGATAATCACTTTGCCACTAGTAGGATTATATAGTCTATATGCTTTGGATTGAGGACTATAACCAATGAAAATGCATTTCTATGATTCTTCATCTAGCTTATTTTGTAAATTAACCAAAGCATAAGCTATACAACCAAAGACTTTCAAGTGGCTTACTCGTGGTGTCCGTCCCGTCCATGCTTCATATGGAGTTTGATTCAAAATGGCTTTTGTTGGAGAGATGTTTAAGCGGTACACATCTGCAACCAGTGCTTCTCCTAAAAAATGAACAGGAAGTCCCCTTGAACTTGCTTTTATTCATTGGTCCACATAGGTCAACTTGAACTTGCTTGTCATCACCAAGTCGAACCTCACTCTTTTGTGACTCATCGAGGTCTCTAAATAAAGACCTTACGCCAATCATATGATTCGAGTTCTTTTTCTTAGTCCTTTTGCTTAGTCCAACAATATGTTTCAGTATGACCGAACTTCTTGCGATACTGGCAATGAAAGTCACTCTTATGATGAGTGTCATTGAATTGACTTCTCCCTCTACCGCAACCACAAAATCTGCCTCTTCCTCTACCTCTGCCAGAAAAAAATGAGGATTTTTCTTTGGAGAAAGATGACTCCTCTTTCACCTGGAATTTTTTTCTTCAACTTTCTCATGAGGCCTGTTTATCCTATCTTCATGAGCTAATAAAGAACCCATTAATTCATCAAATGAATAATCAAATAAATGAATGGATTCTTCAATAGCAGCAACCACATGCTCAAATATTTTGGTTAAAGATCTCAACACCTACACCTTTGCCACAACAATTTCATCATTGATATTCTCCCCACACTACTTCATGAGATTAACAATGGAAGAAACTCTAGACATACAATCTTGAACAGATTCATTACTTTTCATAAGTAAAGTTTCAAAATCATGACGCAAAGTTTACAATTTTATAGCAATTATCTTCTTATCTCCCATATACTCCTGTTTGAAGAATTTCCCAAGTTTCGTGAGAAGTCTCTACTGCTGAAATTCGGGGAAAGATATCATCATGAAGGTCTTGTTGAATCAGGAACAACGCCTTCGAGTCTTTCTTGCGATTCTCCTGTAGCCTATGTACCTGGCCTTCAACCGGATCTGCAAATCCGCTCTCCACCAAGTCCCACAACTCTTGAGACTTGAAGAGA